AACAATAATCAGTACATATATGAAAACCAAAAACAGTGCAGTATATTGTACATATGTATTTACATGCAGTATAATGTGTACGTGCAGTCGAACTGTGATAATTCTACATAATAAAACTAAAAAAGGGAAAAAATAAAGTTAGAAACACTGGAAAAAAAATCGTACCTGCGAGATTCAGTCCTGCTGTTGAATGCAGCAATAGCCTGTTAACGTACTGCAGTACGGTGTTCATTACAGTTATTTACTCAGTCCACTGCTGACGGGTATTTCGGTTTTTCCAATTTGGGACTATTAAAAACAATGCTGCTAACATGGAGAGACCCAGAGATTACCGTATTAAGTGAAGTGAATCAGACAGAGAAAGACAAATATCATAGGATGTTGCTTATATGTGGAATCTGAAAAAAAAAATACAAATTTTATTTACAAACCAGAAATAGACTCACAGACATAGAAAACAAACTGTGGTTATCAGGGGGAAAAAGGGTGGGAGACGGATAGATTAGGAATGTAGGATTAATAGACAATATATATAAAATAGATAAATAACAATGACTTACTGTAAAGCACAGGGAACTATATTTGATTTTTCTTTTATTGAAGTATAGTCAGATACAATGTGTCAATTTCTGGTGCAGAGAACAATGTTCCAGTCACGCATATACATATATATATTCATTTTCATATTCTTTTTCATTAAATATCATTAAAGGATATTGAATATAGTTCCCTGTGCTATACAGAAGAAATTTTTTAAATCTATTTTTATATACAGTGGCTAACATTTGCAAATCTCAAACTCCCAAATTTATCCCTTCTCACACCCTTTCCTCTATTCAATATCTTGTAATGAGCTGTAATGGAAAAGAATCTGAAATATATATGTATATGTGTATATATATATATATATACACACACACACGTATGTACATGTATAACAGATTCACTGATGTACACATGAAACTAACATGAATCGACTACACTTCAATAAAAATTAATTTTAAAAATAATGCTAAGAATATTTGTGTGCCTTCTGGTACACGTGCACACATATATCTAGGAGCAGAACTGCTTGGTAGCAGGATATGCACACATTCAATTTAAATAGCTAATACTGCACTGTTTCCAAAGCACCTATTTACATTCCTACCAGAAGTATATGAGGGCGCCAACGGTTCGACATCTTCAACAACACTGGCATGGTCTGTATTTTTTATTTTAGCTGTCTGGTAGAATCTATAGTTGGATCTCCTATTTTTTTCATTGCATTTCTCTCATGGCAAGTGAGGCTGAGCATTATCCCATGTTTATTTGGATATCCTCTTTTGTGAAATGCCTGTTGATCAATCCTGCCCACTTTTCTATGAGATTGTCTTTTTCTTATTGTTTCTAGGAGTTTCAGAGATGAGCACTTTGTCGGTTACATGCGCTGTAATGTCTTCTGCCATCCTGTGGCTTGGGTTTTCACTCTGCAGTGATGTCTTTTGATGACCACGAGGATGAGTGGCAGCCAGGCTCAGGCTCCTTCCTGGTTTTAGTCTTATCTTCTGTTCCGTTTCTAGTCTTCCTGCTTTTGCTGGAACAAACTTCATCACAAGACAGAGGATTCACTCTTCCAATTCTGCAAGGTGTAGTGTTACCCAGCTCTCAGCGATGAAAGTCAGAAAGGACTGCTTTTATCAGACAGATTTCTCTTTTTTTTCTACTTCTAGACGGACTGACGTTGAGAGAAGCTTTTCTCTTTCTCATAAAAGCTCACTGAGAACTTTAAGGAGAAGGCAACACACTCCACAGCCTGAAAAGTTCTACCAAGTACTTTACAGATTCAGTCTCAGATGGCACATGCTCTGAGTCCCCAAAGAGAATGGGCAACAATTTAACTAGCTGCTTTGTCAGAGCATAGCAAAGACTGCTCACTTATCAGCCAGGGATAGGAGGATCTTCCATAACCTTCCATCCTACCTTAGATGGCACATTTTAAAGTCTATCGCTTGTACCTCCTCACTGCTCGGTACTAGCAAGTACCTAGCAGGAATCATTCACAATTCAGAACAGCCTACGTAAGAAAAGAAAAGGAAAAGAAAAATAAAGGGAAGAAAAGAGAAGAAAAAAGAAGAGAAAGAGTGGGGGGGCAGATTTATTCGGTCATGTAACTGAATAGTCCCTGTATAAATCTGTCATAGCTGCATACGGGGGGGGGGACTCAAGCAATTTCATTTGGACCAAGTTTCTCACCATCTTTCCATTCTACTTTCCTCTGTGTTAGTTTCATACATACATTCAGGCAGGCAGGTAAAATAGCCACCAACAATTCGAGTTAGCATGCTATCAGACCCCCAGGGTAAGGAGAATGTGTCTTTTCCCAAAAGTTCAAACAGAAGTCCTGGAATTGAGCCTCATTGGCCTGCCTCAAATCATATTCCTTCCCCTGGAACTTTGGAGAAGTGTCCCTTCCCTCTCCCTCCACACCCAAAGGAAAACCAGTGTGCATCACTGAAGAAGGCACAGGGAATGTGGCACAGGTGAAAACAAAAGATGTTCTCAACAGTCATTTACCAACTGGAAGCATCTTAACTTATGGCAAACACTGTGACTTGTCTACCCAATGGCCATTTCCCCTACCCCTTCTTCCTGACTGATGGAATCTCAATTTGTTTGCTTGGCAAACATGCCCAGTTTCAGGCCATGAATCATACACAACTGGTTTAAACTACGATTAATAAACACATTTCCCTTTTCCAGATTATTTTATGAATAAAATTCATAATAAACTCTGTTCAATAAGATAGGGAAAAAACCTGCTGGGAGGTATGGCTCTGGGAAAGATTTTCCTCCCTGAAAGGAAGAAAGGTTCATGCAGACAGCTCACAAGTCCTGGCCATCCCTGAGTTCCCACCTCTGGACATAGTTACATGGAGCTGCTGCAGCCCTCTTATGACCATGGGGGTAAGACCAAGAGAATAAGCAGAGATGCCAACTTAGAACCCTGGCATCATAGAACTACTCACCCAGCTCCAGAGGTACCACATCCAGCCTGCTTGTTAGGAAAACTTACAGCTGTACCATCATATTCCATGACTGTTCCCCACAAATGCTCGTAAACCTCTCATCGTGCAGCAGCGGCAGGGAAGGAGCAAGCAGGCATTCAGTCTACTATCCATTGTTGATTAAAACTAGCTGTATTATTGCCAACCCACAGTATACAGAGGACCAAGAAAGGAACATGAGCCACAGATGCTCTTCCTGCCCCAGACTCTTATCACTCTTTCCCCTTCCCTTGAATTAGGCTGAACCTCATGAAATTGACAATATTCAGTGCTTTCTGATCTACAAAAAGGGCACCTCGTATGGTTCAACCTAACAGAATCTTTTAACCAGCAGGGATGCCTTTTACATTCTTTTAAGAGTGTCTCTATGCCGATGAGCATAGAAGCAGAGAAACGGTTCCCTTCATTTCCTAGCCATGGTGAATCTTTGAGCAACATTTGGTAAAAATAATAATAGTAAACGGTCTAGACGAGATGCCACAAAGGTGCAGCTGTTACCAAGTCACCCTGCGGAGCAAACTCCCCAGATTCAAAGATTTTTAAATGTGGTATCTGATCTTGGAAAGCTCTTAAAGAGGACAGACTAATAAGTAAATTATATTAAAATGGGATAAGCACCAGGAACAAGGCACACAGAAACTGGGTACCTCTGGGAGCAGAGAGAAAAAGCTTCTCAGGGGAAGCCAGCCTGAGCTGAGTCTGGGAGAATGGTCTGAAAGGGTGTGCTTCGCAATAGCCCTTCACTGTCACCACGCATCAGAACGAGCTGGGAAAGGGTCAAAGCCTGAGCCCATTCCAGGCCAACTAAATAAGAACCTTTGAAGGCAAAGCCCAGACACAGGTGTTTTCTAAAGCTCCCAGGTGATTCTAATGTGCAACCGGGGTTTAGATCCACTATTCTTGGAGCTAGAGTGACGAGCAAGTGATACCTCCTTGCTGCTGACATTCTCAGGCCAGCATGGTAGCAACACAATTAAAATGAGACAAACAAAACTGCAGTTCACATTCACTGCAATGAACTAGCACAGCAGAAGCAAATGACTGCTTCACAGCCCCAAAATAGGTATTTGCATCAACAAGACCAAGACACAAGAACTTTTCAGCAATGGATGGTTTATGGGGGGGGGGGTATGGCTGAAATTAAAAGGTTCCAGAAAAACTTGAACCCCTTAATCTGGAGGAGGTGCTTTAAAGGATTAAATGTACATTCGACTTAACCCTGTTCTCAACTTTGAATCAAGACAGTATAGGACCAGGGAAAGAATCAGAAGTCCCAGCCTATCCACATACACCCTAAGTCCCACATTCTCTACCCCATTGAGGAAAATTACACTCAAATGCAACCAAATCAAACACCTAGAGTTTGAAAGAAGGAAAATAGGGGAAGGAATGAAGTGAAGGACATTTAAGTACAATAAGCAGTTACATTTCTTTAATTTAAAAAAAATAGATTTTGCATGTAACCCAGCATACTCCTCTTTCTATTTTGTATCATGTACCTTTACAAAAATAGAATTTGCCAGCCGGGATCAGCTGGTGGATAATCTTGTTGGAAATCACGGTTCCTGCAGCGAGGGCCCAAGGCCTCGAGTGCCAAAAGAAGAACGAGAAGGTTCGATGGGGGTGAACCAGGCGGGCTGCAGAAGAGCCAGCTCCTCCCTGACCGCTTGTGAGGGGCTCCTTCCCAGGCAGGGCGTTGGTCAGCCAGCCCCCATATAAAGGTGCTAATGGGCTCCTATCATTCCTTGGCTCTCTTTGAAGTACAGCTTTAATATTTACACCCTGATCTCCAATCTGTACCTGCCTCAAAGGACTACATCCAGTGAAAAAGACCTGTCATCGGAGTGTTAACTTGATTACTTTACTTCTTAGCGCGAATTCTTGGTTATTAAGCACCTGTTTCCCCATCTTAAATCCAGCACTAGGTCTCCATTTTTTTGTCATAAACCTTACCTTCCTGAGTGTACCACAGGCACTCAAGGCGCCGGAGGCCTGGCAGGTTCACGGATTCAGGCAGACCGAAGAACACTTGGGAACCGTAGGTATCTCCTACGAGCCTTTAGCGGAGCACACAGGCTTCAACGGCGGCAGCAACAGAAAGGCCCCGCTCACCTTATACAGCAAGGCGGACCCAGCCGGAATCTCGCCCTCTGCAGGAACCACGTGGGCTAACCATTGCGCTTGCGCAGCACGTCATCATTACGTAACACTCCGTGGGTACTGCGCGCGCGGGATAATACTGCTGAGTCACTGGGCACAGACATCCTGCGAGGAAGCCTGATTGACTCCATTTTCCCTGCCTTGGGGTATGTTGTCTGCCCCACAGTGTTCTTTTCACAGGACAAAGGTAAAGAGAGGCCCACTTCCTATCAGAGAATAAAGATGACCACAAATGACATAAACTCAGAATCAAAGGTCTTGAATACAAACATTAATTGCAGTGCTCTCCTGCCGTAAGAGGTACAGTGATGGGTAGGGAAAGTTTAATAATAATATAACAGCAATTAACAGCAGTAGAACAGTTGTCATCATTGTCATAATCGGTAATAACACTGATACTAATAATAAGGCTGCTTTGCTTTCCTCACATAAACCGCAGTCAACTGAGTAATCAGCTTTAGCAAATGGGTACATCCTGCCAGTTTTGAAGGGTTTCACTGAAGTGAGTGTTGAACATCGGAACGTGGTTTAATGGTATGTTACATGCATTGTAGGTTTAAAGGCACATCCCTGGTATCTCCAGATCCGGAGTCATCGAGTCTTAATGATAATAATCATAGTAATAACTGCCACTATTAAGTGCTTACTATATTCAAATGCTGGACTAAACTGTTTCAAAACTTATTTCCCTTTGCAAAACAACCCAAGGAGGTAGGTTATTATCATTAACTCCTTTTAGAAAGGGTGAAACTGAGGCCAAAGGGGCTAAAGTAACTTAAGAAGGTTACGCATGTTGGATTTGGTGACGTTGAGGGATTCAACCCAAATCGGCCACGTCTGAACTCGAGAGAAATCGATGTAGAAGACCAAGAGAGGGCTGAATTTGGAATCCGAAGGCTGGCTTCTGGCCCTGTCCAGGTCGTCTTGTGTCTCCAAAACTCAGTTTCCATGTGGTAAAATGAAGCGAGTCCTCCTTCCCTGCCTGTGTCACAGATACTGCAGCTACTGAGTGAAAAGAAGGGCTTCCAGGGCAGGTACCAAGTCGGTCTTGTGTCCCCAGCGTTTTGCACTCATTAAATGTTTATGGAAGTTATAATGCACCCAAAAGTGCTGAGAAAGCTGCAGAGCATCCTGAAGTACAAACGTGGGAGATTCACGCAGCACTATAGTCTGTGGCCACCACGGGTGAGGCTGCAGCCTCACGATGGCTCATGCATTCATGTCCAAGATGCAGACACCTCAGGCCTCCAGCCATTACAAAAGAACACCCTCTCCAGCCTACAAACTACAACAGGGAACCATGATCATGCTGACTCCCTAGAGGATGGCGCCAGATCTAGTCTGTATGCCTCAGCCCCCTCCAAATGGACCCATCGACCCCAGGGCCCAGCGGCGTCATAACATCTTCACTGGGTTGTCAGTAACGACATCCCTGTGTTTCTCCTCAGATTGCTCAGGAATAGAAAAACAAGAACATATTTCTCCTCAGAGAGAAATGCCCTAGAAGCTGAGGTTCCAAATGCCTATCCACGGAGGTACTTCCACCCCAGTGTAGCTGCGATAAACCCAGCCCCAGCCTGACAAATACACCCTGTGTAGTCTGGGGTGGTGGGACAGCTCAGCAACATACATCTCCAGCCTGTCATTTCTGCACGTTCACAGGCTAATGCCCTGAGAACAAGACTCCCTCTGAGGTCTGTTCAGCACCACCTCACTCTCCACAGCAACTCAGATCTGCAGGGTCCATGGGGGCCACCTGCACCCCACCAGCCTCCATCAGGTCAGGGGAGCTGAGAGGATCCAGGTGGGGAAACACAAGAGACTGAGACAAACGCACAAAAACCAAATAGATCCCATAGCCAGGACACTCATATTTGCCCACCACAACACACAGGATGCCCCAGCTCCAGGATCCAGCGAAATTCTGCCCCACCCCACTCTAAAATAGCTCCTCACTTCCCTGCCCCTGAAACAGAAGCTGGGATGGGGAAGTGGGTGGAGCCCTCCGGCTTTATACCTATGTCTCCTACAACACCCCTGGGGGGCCCAGGAAGGCCTCAAAGGAGAGAGGGTGTCACCATAGTGCTGCCTGGGGACAGATCACCTAGCAGGGATGATGCAATGACGGCAGAGGGTAAGAAACTGTACTGCAGTTTGCAGGCTGCCCCAGCTGTTCAGCGCTGTTCTGTCCAGCAGGTGCCAAACTGCCCATCAGCTCCTGCCACACAGACCCATGCCAGGGCCCAGATGCCTGAAGAAGTCTGTGGAGACCTCCCCCAGGAGGGCCAGGCCCCACTGTCTTGGGTGTGCAGAGGGTTTGCACAGCCTCAACCCAAAAGGCCGAAAGCCCATGACTCATCACGGCAGCACTTTTGCTTTGAGATCTAAGAATCTGCCAGCTGTGGCGTTGAGTTGGGCTCTGAAAATACCAGGATGAACAGGACGCCACACCCACCCTCACAGTTCACGGTCTTCTGGAAGAACCACAGATGGGGCCAAATGGCTGGGTTTGTCGCTAAATATGAACTGAGGCTATACTGTGAAGGGCTTTCTGAGCCAACCACAGTGCTTGGATTACATGTCAACACTTGTGATCTCTCACTTTCGTGGGTTGCAAAAGATGATCCAGGGAGTGAAGGGAGAAAATATTAACTTTTCCATATGTTTATTTTTATATAATTAAGACAAAAATAAGATTTATTAATATTCACTACAAGCCACGATTTTCATGCCTTCATTCGGTCCACTCGTCAGTGATGATCACACGTCCTCAAGGGTCTCGAGGGCTCCTGGGGACACATGGACCATGGTTGACAGTGACAACTCCGTTTCTGTGTTCTCTTTCAGCACAGTGAGACCTACTCTAGATGACTCTAGGTAAGTGGAATTACAGAGTGAATCTAGTTTTTAACTAACCATCCCAAAAAGGGGCAAAAGACTTACGTTTTTCTCTAAAAAGAAAACATGGGTGGAAGTAATAATTCAAGACAAAGTGAACACCAAGAAAAAGGCAACCCTGCCAACCTGTGAGTCAGCCACATTACAAGGGAAAACCAGTGAAATAGCAACAGATCTCACAAGTCAGCTGGAAAGTTTTTAAATTACCCAGAAGACGATCTGAAGTGTCACTTTGTGTTTACTGTTGGTAACGAGGAACCGAATCTTAAGCATAAATGGTGCCTGAGACATGAGTGAATGATGGTAATGAAACCATCACAATTAACAAAACATTCTAACATACTGTCTGCATTATCTTTAATATGTCTTTTTTGAATTTTTATGCATAATATATTGGTACTGGAAGGCACATATCAAATTACAAGTAAATGAGCACACGTCTGCTGGGAGTGCATACTCAACATGTTGCCCTGCCAACAGTGGGTGTTCAAAACGTGCTGGAAGCCACAACTTTAAAACATGCAACCTAGAGCTAGCCTAGACCCCCAGCCAGACCCCCCTGTACCTCCCGAGGACTTCCTTGACTCTCATGCTCAGCAGGAAGGAAAACTCAACAGAAGGAAAACTATTAATAAGGGACGCTAGGCACTGGCATCATCACAACTTTGTCTAAGACCATCCCAAAACAGAAGACCTACCAGTTTAACCAATTTCTTTCTACCACAGCCATGTGCCAGAGGGGAAACAGACCCAGCTAGGTCGAGCTCTGTACTCACAGAGGTTTGGGGCAATTCACGTCAATTCCACACATGCAAAATAAAGGAGGTGTATTAGGTGCCTTAATTTTAATGTTAATTCTTTACCTTAATATGTAGATGAGGAATATTCATTTTCCACTTATGGTAGTGATTTTCTTTTAAAATCAATTAACATAAGTTTAATATGAGTGGATGTTAAAATACTAAGCAAATAATTTAAATGCAGTGCAGATTCATATGTTAAAAACTGGAGAGATGGGATATAAATGACTGCAGATTAGGAAACACTGGACTAGATAACCTCCATCCAGTGCCCAGGTCTGAAACTCTGATTATTCTTATTCCATACAGATAAGCTCAAGTACTGTAAAGCTCTTATAGCAAATAATAGGACTTACACAAGTATGTTTCAGTTCTGGTTTTGCCCCACGTCTTAGTCCATTCAGGCTGCTATAACAAAAATACCACAGACTGGGTGGCTTAAACAGTAAACATTTATTTCTCACAGTTCTGGAGGCCAGGAAGTCCAAGATCAAAGTGCTGGCACATCCAGCGTCTGGTGAGGGCTTCCAGGTTCTTCCGGCCATGTCCTCACCTGGTGGAAGGGGTTGGAGCCTCTTTTATGTGGGCACTAAACCCACTGGTGAGGGGTCCACCCTCATGACCTAATCACCTCCCAAAGGCTCCATCTCCTAACACCATCACATTGGAGGTTACAGTTCAACATATAAATTTGGGGGGAACACAAACATTTAGACACAAAGATTCTAGCTCTTGATTTAAGATGAACAAATGAAAATCAAAAGATGAGGAATGACATGGCTCTTTGTGGTGACAACTTCTTCTGCTTGGAGGCAGGGCCCCTGATCTCTGAGCCCAAGCCCCTCACGGGACTCTCCAGGGAATTACTACTCTCTCTGGGCAGCTTTTTGTTTCTTTTTCCAGAAAGGGAATGGTTTGTTCTTTTAATAAAGAACACTCTCTGCTGTTCTGCTGCAGAATCTATTATAGAAAGAACTGACCAAATCCCAGGAAAGAGCAAGCAAACTAATAAAAAACGTGAGCTGGAGTCCCTGTCGCTCATCCAGGCTCCATCTCCCAGCAGAACTGTGCGAGTTTGGCGCCCCCTGCTGTCCCCTTTCTGCGTGTGCCTGTGTCCTGTGTTCTGTGTCCTGTGTCCTGTTTCCCATGTTCTGCCAGAGACAGGCATCCCAACCACAGTGGGGGGATGGGGGATGCACTGCAAAATGAGCACTAACCATGGAATGAGGGCACAGTCTTGCAAAAATGCATCTGAAACATCAACCATGTAAAA